TCACACACACTCTCTAACACTCTCTCGCTCTCTCACACACACTCTCTAACACTCTCTCTCACACATACACTCACACACACACTCTCTAACACTCTCTCACACACACACACACAACTACATGTGCTGAAAAAAAAGAGAAATAATATTTCATAAAAACCTTTAAAATTGCCAAAGAATTAAGGTAACACCAGTGACAAAAAAAAGGGTACATGCGGTCTTTAAATAAATATACAAAAAATATAAAAAATCATTAAGCTGTTATTTATGTGTATTCATAAAGTCAAAAGGTAATCTAATAATGTGGTCTAAGTTTAAATGTTAAAAAAAGAAATACATTTTAAGACATCTTGCCATACCAAAAGTGGACGTTTCTGTAGAATGACCCAAATAACGATTCCAAACACCGTGTCTACACCGGACGCGAGCGGCGCGGTGTGACAAAATACTATAGAACCACTGATCTATAATAGAGATTCATTATATATAGATTAGTGTATAGAACTTATTATAATCAGTGATGATGTCTACACTAAATGCGGCGCGACACGACAAATCCCAGACAGTAAACTGCTGCCGCGTTCTATTTATGACGTGCTGACACAAATTTCAAATGACTTTGAACGGTCGCTTTGTGGCGTCCAGTGTAGACAGACTTTAGCTGTTGTGGCATGGCGCGGCACGACACGACAACTGTCGCGTCCGGTGTAGACATGATGTAACGTTGCCTGTTACACTACAGTACATAAAATTTCACTTACCACATAAACAGAGTAAGGAGAGATGACTGAGGATGATGGCGAATGATTTGCAGATCCTGAGCATCAATGACAAACATCTAATCTTGTAAAATGTGTGGTAAGTACTGCTGCTCCATAGTAGCCTATAAACAGAGTATGTGCGATCGCGAATCTCGAAATTGAAAGTGAAACTAAAAAGCAATCGTGCATTCAAAATCAGTTTCAATGCCAGGTATAATAGCGGCTCCCTGATGCCCGAAATATATGTAGTATAATTACCCAATGATATACTGCGAGGGAAAATATTGAAATATATATTTTCCTCCCATCTCGTATTTATTCCCTTTAGGGGTTCCGTCTACACGTCATTTTCTTTCCGAACACGGTATTGGGATGCGGCGGATTGCGAGGGGTATGGGGTGGGGATCACGATGCCAGCTCAACATTGAGATGTCTATCAGCCATCGGCGACGTTTCCTTGATGAAAATCAGTAAATGTTTGACAGCAAAAAGACACGTGAAGCTCGAGCTGAAGCTGGACGTTTGTACAATTACTGTATTCTAAAAGGCCTTTAACTTGATTAAAAAAAGCCTAAACTATCAGTCAGACAACAGAGGGCATGGAGCAGATTGTGTGACAGGTTTAATTGATCATGTTGATCATTTAGAGCCTTAGAAGTGTGTGTATCAAATACGATGGAGACAAAAATCTGAGACATTGTGCAGGTTTGCTGAAGTGTTTACCTGAAAGAAAAAGGGTTTGTACTCATCGTCTATGCAGCTGCAGTCATAGGCTCTTTCCCGGAATACTGAGTCTCCAACAGACTGAAACTCCAGAGCGAATCTGGAGCGGTTTCCTCGCGGCGTCACGCCGTCCAGCCACACGCGCAGCTGCGAGGAGTTGGCGTTATGACGGAGATTTGGCCACACTTGATCACGACCCACTGACTCAAACGCTGAGAACTGATGATAGAAGAGAAATCAGACACAAATCTACACAGAACCTGCTGTTTGTCACTGTAGTTATGCTCACCTGCAGACAGAGAGAGCCGTTGAGGAAACTCTCCGTTTTCTCTCTGCCGCACAGTGTTACTGTGTGACCTGTCTGGTTAACAGTGATCTTTGGGTCGGACCAGATGAAGTTCTGGAGCTCGTATGGAGGGTAAAAGCTGGACTCTGCGGTCTGCTGCGGGTCGGCGGTGTTACTGACGTCGTCATACTCCCACACCTAAGAAACAGACACAGCAGTCTTCATGCTTTCTAACCTTCATTTCTTATTTATGCTCTTTTGTTCTTTAATGTCATCATCAGTCCATCCATTCATTTATCCATTCATCATAATCTATCCATCAGTCAATCCATCTATTCATTTATTATTTATCCATTTATCCATCCACATTTAAAGGCATCAGTGTCCCAAAGACACAATGGCAAGGTTAGATTAGGCAATTTAGTGCATTTCTAGTAATAATAAAAATAAAAATAGTTATTGTAAGACTGCATATGTATACATCAAATCTCAACTACTTATTTATTCATGTAGTATTGAGTGTATTTACTCTGGTGAACACTAGTGCCCTGCTGTACCGCACACTGGTCTGCGGCTCCACCCTCAGGCTGCCTGATGAACTGCGGTTGATGAAGGCGGGCCAGTCCACCTGCACTGCTGACTGTGTGCTGTAAGTGTTAACCATCAGCAGTGCTGGAGCTCCATGATTACACAGCAAGAAGTGAAGTGTGTCACTTTGCCCCAGCCCTCGCACATGAACTAGACCCACTCCTTGAGGAAGAACCAACGGAGGAGTCAGACCGGGATTCAGCTCTACAGACACCTGACAAATCAAGATAAATGAGATGTTATATTAGGTTGACCACAAATAAATCTTTATAAAATAATTAGAATTGTAGATGTTTAAATTTATAATTGTATAACAAATTGTATAACTTGTCTAACTCCCATTATGGCAAATTAAAAACCCAATAATAGTAAATAGTTAAAGGGTTAGTTCACCCAAAAATGAACATTCTGTCATTAATTACTCACCCTCATGTCGTTCCAAATCTGTAACACCTTTGTTCATGTTCATAACACAAATTAAGATATTTTTGATGAAATCCGAGAGCTTTCTAACCCTTTATAGACAGCCAAAGTTTTGGTGTCACTTTCATTAACATTGAAAGATAAACATTAAAAACCTAAAAAAAAAAGCCTAATATGTGGCCTATAAACAATTGATATTATGGGGGAGGGGTCAAGCAACACAAGCAAGTAACGCGCAAACTGTGCGCAAGAGTTACGCCGGTGAAAGTCAGTCAATTCACTTTAGAGAAAGTGAAAGTAAAAAACTGACGCTGCATTAACGGCGCATATTCTCTGAGACAACGAGAGACGAAACTACTCCAGCATATGCTGATAACGGTATATAGCTGTCTTAAATTATCCCCTTAATATTTATCTTGTGGCCCGTATAGTGAAAAACATGAGAAGAAAAGTATTTTGTGTTAAACAGGTTGTTTTTGAAAATCGGTGCACGAAATAAAACTGCTCTTAATTTTCATTGATGACTGCAGTGTTAATAATTTTAATTATAGGCCTATAATTCAGTTGTATAAATTAATAGACCTGTTTAAAAAAAAAACTTTTAAAAAACATTTCCAACGAGTAAGCTAATAGCCTAAATTTTAATTATCCTCACAGCGCGTCATGCGTGATGCTTTATGAAATTATTGCGGAGCAATAATTTCATGTAATTTAATAATAAAAGTAACCTAATAATAA